TTTCGTAGCCAAGCTAGGCAATATCATCAGTGTAACTTCGAGGAGACTCCAATCCCCAGTTGGACATGGCTTATATAGTTCTGTTTCAGGGTTGTCATTGGCTGTTTGTGTCCCTTTAATCCCGTTGGTCAATACCAACCGTTTGCTGTGATTTGCTTGGCTGTTCCGTTGTCATAGTAACCATCCTTTGGCCGAATGGCTTTACTAGTGCAACCGGCAAACCGGTTTTGAACCGGTTCCAAAATGATTAGAACTGGTGTTGGACCGGTTCTAGTTGGGGAACCCCCGGTTACCAATGTTTCCTTTGATAATGATAGATAGGTTCTAGTTCTATGTGCTTATTTGTACCATCCGTTCTGAAGTGCCATGCTTCGATGAATTCCCGTATTGACTTGGTGGGTCCCCTTCCGATTATTCTTGCTTTGTCCAGTTCGAAGACATGGTTCTCAGCATCCATGTGGATTGAGATTTGTGATTTCTCCTCGTGTCGTTTGACCGCCAGTGTGTGTTCGTAGAGTCGTGTCTTGAGCTTTCTGCTGGTTTGTCGCACGTAGTATTTGTCGCAGTCTTTGCATTTTAATTTGTATACGACGTTTGAGGAATCGTCTTTTGGTAGTTGATCCTTTGCACTTGACAGGATAGCCCTCATTGTCGCTGTTTTTTTGTGTGCAACCGAAATTCCTGATGGATTGTAACAATCTGGCTGCCATTTCCGAAGTTCCTTGTATATATGGCAGTGTTATTCGTTTAATCGTCGACCGTTCTTCTGACTGTGCATTTGAGGCTTCTCGCGGGGCCTCAATTTTTGTCCTCTCCTTGAGCGTCGTATGGAAGCAGCGTAGCACGAAATTCCGTGGGTATCCGTTCCGTCGAAACACCTCAAAAAAGTGGGCTTCCTCTGCCGGTTTTGTGCAAGTGTGATAGACAACGAATTACCAGATAAGTTAGAAAAAGCAATATCACTAGGAAATAACCATACAAAGCAAGTTACAAGAGAAAGACTCCAGAGGAAATTGGACAGAATAACCCCGCAGAATAGGAAACAAGAATCACAGAATTGGATAGAAAATTTATCCAGTCGCGTGTTATCAGACACTGAACAATCAGTACTAGTTCGAGGATTGAACCTTAACCATGGTGATGCCAATCGCTTAGATTTCATAGCAGCACTGGAGTCCGCTATGAAGACAAACAACATACCCCCGGATACCAAAGAAGACTTAAGACAAAGAATAATCGTTGCATTGAACAGAAGAAAAGAGAAAAATGTTTTCAATCAAAAGAAGCTACGAGCTATGGACAACATGAAACGAGACAAAAACATAATCATTCTCCCGGCAGATAAAGGAGAATTGATGTTGGTAATGAACAGGACGGATTACATAACCAAGGCAAAACAACTACTGGAGGACACCAACATGTACAGACAGGTTGAAGTGGACCCAACGACGAGGACCAAAAGCAAGGTTGTAAAAGTACTGAGCAATTTGAAAAAGAATAACTACATCACGGAGGATGAATACAGACGCATGAAACCAGAGGACAGCGCAGTACCACGGTTCGATGGACCTCCGAAAGTGCTCAAGCCGGATGTACCGCTTTGACCAATCGTCTTACTACCAGGAACATCGAACTTTACATACTGCTCCATTACTTGGTTCGAGGCTCACAACATTCTACCAACTCATCAGAGCAGTTTCTGGAGAAGATCAAACAAACGAGATTGGAAGAGGACGAACTTATTGTCTCGTTTGACGTTACTGCTCCATTCATTTCAAATTGGCTAAACAAACCATGGCTGCTCTAATAAACACCGACAATGGCAACCCAACAACTAACCGAATCGAACAACAAAACCTCCTGGACGAGCAGTTTGTAACCACTGCGTCATCAAATTATCGGAAAAGAATTAGATCTTCAATAACACAACACTTATTCGAACGAAAACAGTGTCAGTCCGTTAGTAATTGTCAAGCCCAAAACTCGAACAAATCAAGAATGTTGACAAATGCACCTATTGTTGCTAACATTTGTTTAGTATACCCACTAGGCTGATGATATACCAATGTTCTATCAACTCCAGAAGAGCATTGGTCCCGTGATGGACTAAAGTTGTTGTTGGCAACTCCGTTCTGCCAGGATCGCAGTGTACTCAATGATAATCCGGTCTTTCGGTCAATTTTATGAGCGTATGATTTCACTGTGGATCACTGAATGAAATGCATCAGTTGTCAATTGGAGAGATCAGTACAGACACAGAAAGCTGTCCGTTTACCATAGGTCATACTCCAGTCGCTGTTTTTCATCATATCTTTTTTCAACTCATGGCTGTTTGCTGAGGGAATCGGGTACATTAAGTCAGGCATTAGATTGCAGTTGCCTGTGAGTAGTTACGTGGGATAAGTGGTGTTGATTTGATCAACTATTCTTCGGATTTTAGCTCCACGTCCGGTCCACAGTTTACTCAGCCAAACATAAGCACAGGACACAATAGGCTATAATTTCATCCTTGTTAGGACTTACCAAAGTCGCACAACCATTGCTCCTTCGGGGTTTGAACACCGGATCGCTTTCATGATAGATGTGTGTGACATCACCGCCTGGACAGGTCAACCGACTGATTCACAGTAAAAGTGACCCCTAGACCAGCCGCACTTGGTAAATTTGGTCAGCACTCACGTGAACCAAATGGAAAAAATCTCGCATTGAAGAACGTCGTCGGGTTATGTGTCAGTCTCCGAATCCAATACTATCACCCACCTAGAGAGCAACAAAAAATAACGACCGATTGATCAAAAAGAAATTGTATCATGTCCCTCAAAACACATCCTTTACCTTGCTCTAAGCTCCAGAAACTGGAAAGATTAGCTACCAAACCTGTAACAACAACGCGCGCAACTTTCGAAGTTATCGAACGCCACCAGCGGTGGTCTCAACACAAAACCAAAAGCGAAACAACTAGCTTAAGAATCAACAGCGCGTTATTGACAATTCCAATGGAATCATCGCAAGTTAAATAGAAAGAAACCGGGGCAAATGCGAAGAGCAAACAATATCTGCTGCCATGCAAAGAAGACATTCATGGGTAACAGTTAGATCATGGACAGCAATAAGTTTCGAGCCTGCAACGTAATTAGTCTGTAGACACTAAAGCTTGTTTGGATGAACTAGGGATGGTGCGCGAAAATGAACTCGGAAGAACAATTATTGAAAAAATGATAATATGTTTTTGTGAAGGTACTGCTGTTAATTTCACAGGTAAAAAATCCTGTGTATAGCTTTTAGCTTAAATTTGTTAAACCCACTTCTTTGAGTTTGATTGAAAAAAAACAGGCTGTGTAGGGTCATTTTGAAATGACCGAAGTTGCAACCCGCAAGAGAGTTTTCGCCGTCCCTGGTCTGCCTATTCCGCATGTATGCTTCTTGGCATGGCAACAGGTATTGGTTGCATGAAACATTGGCTCCTGCCTTTGTTTAGGTTACTTCAGAATCGTCCATATCAAGATATTGGTTCTTTCTAGGTCATGTTGATATCCACTTAGGCGAGGTTTGATTATTTTAAACGATGCATAACTTTGATACTTCATCTTTGCTCTCCTAGCTTTATATTTGCTGCAGCGTACTAAAGATAAACTTCTAGTGCATTTGAGAGAGTAATGTATACTACTTTCCCTTGACTGAAATGGTCCTTATTTTCTGATACATGTCGGGGTACTGAGAACCATGAGGTCGTAGAGACAAGGCCCTTTCGGCAAGCAGTCGGACTGACCACATCACCTAAAGCTTCTTACTCAGTCGAATTCCGAGACTGTGTGTAGGTTTTTGTCACTATCCAAACCAAAAACGCAAATCGATGAAGAAAGCAAAAAATGGAATGAGCAAGCAAGGCTTATAGGGGGTAAATTCTGTTGAGAGACTTGTTGACAAAGGCGATGTGACTTTCATGTGGCAACCCGGTTCGGTGCATTCCATGCAGATGCTATTATAGTGTGGCCGATTGAACGGGGGAATTCGGACGTTATTTGAGGTTTAACGAACGTCATTGTTTCTTCACAATCTATTTGAATGTTCACATTGTGATCTGAGTACCGTCGCATGAAAACACTTATTCTCCGGCAAAAGAGCTTTTATAGTTTTCGCTTCTTCTACACATTGTTATATCTCTTGGTTTTTGCTGCCTTCTTATCTTGCAGTGAAATTACGTAAGCATGATACATACGGTACACGGTAACACAGTAAACTTTTGTCGAAAGCGTGAGTTTTCCGGTTTAAGCGGTCGTTACTTGATCACTCGCGGACTATGGTGTCCGTTTTGTAAAGGTCTTTTATACCTGGTCGATGTGGATGTAGTTCACCATGGTTATTCATCGACATCCTCAAGATTTAATTATCACCAACTGAATTTAGACATTTTTCAGTAAAACAATGTTCAATGAATACGACCGTTTTTACCGCGAAAATTAAAGTGTAGTGACTGAAGTCAATAAGGGAAGAGAGGGAAGTAAGGAAACAGTGAATAAAACACTAGAATTGGGAAAATAAAAACATAACCAAAAACGCCCAAATAAACGTGGATAGACTGAAGACGGCAATGATTGAGGGGGGCGGGGGTGGGGTTAAGGAATCAATATGGCATCAGCAGACTGGAAAATTGACGTAATGTGGATGCGTTACAAAATGTGGGGAAAAAACAACAGAAAACAAAATCAATAACAACGTTGTTCACAGGATGGATGAACGTAAAACGATTGTGCTAATACATACTTCACCAATTGAACTCAAGCACTTGCAGAAGAATGCGGGTCGGGGTTGGGCTCGCGATGGAGGGAGGAGGGAGATTTACAGATGAAAACGTATGTGCGGCGCCTTGAGAATGATTGCACTTATTGTATTCACAATGTCTGCAAGAATGGTGCCTGTTTGGTTTGAAACAATTAACACAGTACTTTCGACATGTTTCATACGAAGCATTAAATTGTAATTGTTCGAAAGTGCAGTGGTTAGGGTAAAAACCTGGGGAAGTTAGTGCTGTTTTGTTTGTACATGGAGGATGTTTGACTGTTGGTGTTCAAAATGAACGGATAGCTGAGGGCGTTTATTGCGGAACCGGCCAGAGTATTAACTCCGGCTACATTTGCCGCTGACGAGGCTGTACTAGTCAACCACAACGGATCAGATGGTGTCAGACTAGAAGCAAAGAGAGCGGTAGATTGTGAGACTGTGGGAGTAGACGATCCGGCTAGAATTGTGGACAGCGCCGAGTTGTCCGCCGAGAGATTGACGTTAAACAGTGGAGAGCCGGTATATGCACTCAGCTGAGTTGGATTAAGCCGGAGCCCTAAGGCGTTAATTGCCGATGACAAGTTCCCAGCCCCCGTGGATCCAGCTACAAGGGAACCGGCAGCAGCAGCGGCCGCGGCTGCCGCACTGCCAGTATTGGAACTTCCGAGACTGAACGAGGTCGAATCATGTCCCAGAGAGAGATGATTGTTTGTTGAAGTCTGACCATTCTGACTGATACTTGTAGACGATGTAAGACCGGTTGGGTCAACTGATCTGATTGCATAGTAACGAGGTGTGTAACGGAAAGGGGATGAAGAAATAAAGTTATCAGTGTGATTAGTGAACATGATGTTTCGAAAAAGTCAACATTTGTTCTCGTCCGATGAAACGTATTATTTTATCATTAAATCTATCTAATTAAAATGATCATGAGAACAGTAAAGGATTACTGACCGTTGTGCAAACAGACTAGAAAGATTGCTTCTGGAAAATAAAATGAGTTGGATTTTATGGAAAGTGCAATCACCTGAACGATGTTCCGTCAAAGCATACATGAAAACTCAAACAGACAATGCAAAACTCCATTTTGATGTGAGCGAGATTTTAGGTATTTCACTCCTGCTGGTGAGTGCCCAAAAGAACGAAACAAGTAAATAGTGCTTGTTGTCAACGCTAGTTCACCTGTTTTCATTGCATTTCACGTGTGAGGAATTAGCTAAATCTCAAAGAGCGTCGGCCACACCCTGAAAAATATAACACCATGTGCAACATCCCGTGTCTGTGACTATCAAGGAGTTAATATACAAGTAAATTAGTCTGAAGTGGAATCAACTGAAATGCTCATAAGTTTATGTGAACAGATTAAATAGATTCATGTTGTGTTGGAAAAAATAATAAAAAGTCCTTAACGGAACAACAAGCAAGGAGCATTAAAAAATCTGTTATCAAAATTAAATGAATACGACTAATAACACAATTCTAACAACGCCCAAGCCAAGACATGACGGTCAAACCTTACCCAAATTCTTGTCCCACCGCAAAAAATCATCACCTCGTTCCGCGCTGCACACCGTTCAAATTTACTCTTCCAAACTTGCTTAACCAGAAATACTCTAATTAATTTTTATGGTGTTTCCTACGTCCTGGCTATGAATTCCGCAACGAAAAGCATTTCTTTCCCAAGAGATTTTATCTCAAATCTTAAGTCACATTCAGTTACTAATGTGTAGCTTATGTTTACAACAATAAGGGCAATTGATACTTGCTCACCCCGAAGACTCCAACCAAAGCAACAAATAAAAATGTTTTAGCATGTGTCATTTCGTAATACATAACAGAAGAAGTGGATAAAGAAAATGTAAAGAATCTTTAAGTTATCGATAGCCTTCGAGCGAGGTAATCCATCATTGAGTAATATTGAATAACAAAGGTTTTTCTGAATGTGCGGAGCGAGCGAAAACTTCAGCCAGAATAAGCCCTTTATGTATGAATATTTAGAGAGAATCCGTAACGAGGCGTTCCCGTAGTATTCATTCATTTTTTGTTACATTCAGATAAAGGATAATATCTACAATCGAAAATCGTGATTGGAATAGAAACTTTCAATGCAACCTGGGTACGTTTGCCCTGTGACTGATCACTTTCATGCACCAACCTCAGTTCATCCGGTCAGCCATGAAAATTCGGAAGCACTGTAGACCCGAGTTTCGCGTTTCTCGGAGTTCATCAGTAGTGCACCTTGGTTTCCCCGTCCGGACTTGGAATCCCGGACCCTTCACGTGGAAGGCGTGTGCCAGATCGACCACAATGGAGTCGACCAGAAATACCAAATTAAATTTGTACGGATAGTCACGTGGTTATTGATCCGACAGCTCGCGAAGGTGACAATCCAATGGATGTCTCCTGACTAATCATATCTTCTCAGGAGGTTCAGACAGTCATATCCCAATGAATTTACTTCAAAGCAAGTTTACAACCCCTTGAGAGTCCTATTTTGAGTGGTGAATTTTTCTTGGAAATTCTTTAGGTGCCACAAGCTGGCATAATCATCATTTCATTCATTTAACCACACATACACATTCTTTTTCTCTGTTACTGGTGCAAATCATGTTCCATACTACCCGAGTGCGTTTTTACCTGGACGAACTGATGGTTGTTACCTGAAGATGGAGACTGAATGATGGTCACCCACAATTAAAAGCATGTATTACAAAACATTACTCATCAGTAATTGTGGACTTAACATGTGTATGTACCTTTAATTCCCGAGAACAGCTTTTGTAAGTGAAGCTTGACTAATATATTCTTCATTTAGAGCAGGTTAAGAAAATAAGACATGCATGTAGTTTGCTAATCATCCGAAAAGCAATAAGATTCCTTGTAATTAGTGAATTGACCTCGGAACCTTTAGCTTTTGTGGCTAAGCTTATCATGATAGTGACCTAAAGGTGCTGAATTCGTATACCATACGGCCACCTATCGTCCCTACTTCCCCCCGCCCCTGTAACCAGCAGCCTTTGATTGGCTGCAGTTCCCAGGCTACAAAGTTTTGTACATCTAATGGATAAAAATACTTAGGAACCGTCATATTTCAATAGATGACAAACTTTTGTAACCTTTGGATCAAGTTATTTTTCATTGGAATAAAACATTTAGGCTATAGAGATCTGTGACTAACAAGATCATTGGACAGATGTTTCGTCTTGTCTATGACTCCTCAACAGTATGTAGTTTCTGTAACCTTTGCTTTTTATAAAAATCATTGAACTACAATTTTTTTGGCGCAGTTTGGACTCAGACGCGTGTGAAATGCAAATACAGTACATGCTCGTGCGGTTCTCTCGGGGCATCGAAGTGTGAGTCGTGAATGGAAACGCGTACTTATGAACTAAACGGTTGTCAGACAACAGCTAGAACGAACAGCTTATTCAGTGCAGAATATCATGCTAGGGTTAAGCCCATTCTATTTTCCATAGTCATCAGGTGCACCACTTACTTATACGTGTTGTGCGGGCCCACATGGTGTTGGTACACAGTGAATCATCCTCATGTCAGCAATAGGCACGCTACTTGCATCTGATACATTAAGTCACGTTAAACGAGCGATCATAGGTTTTACGAAACACAAAGCTTTTTATGGTTACCTTTGTATAAACCGAAATTCTGTCTGAACAGATAACGCATTATTTTATCGATCTACAAAGCAACGAGATCAATCTGCAAGTAAGACGGAAAGAAAACTTAAGATGTTCAGTTAACGTGACTCCAAGATTCAGTCTGATTAATAAACTGACGCAGGGCACAACGCATTGACCAAACCTGTGCCCGATTTCAACTTACTGAGTTACACTCGATCGAGAGCTATTTGTGTCCAGTGCTCCGGATAGTCCCAACCTCATTGAATCATTTCTTCCAGCACTGGAGAACAGACCGGACTGGGCAGCTAGCGTTTGATAGAATGATGGAGTTGCTGTACAGTATGTGCCCGATTTGATAGAGGCAATGGTATCCTTCACGTGGGAGTTGATAGTCGATGGGGACTGACTTGGATATTGTTGTTGTTGCTGCTGCTGTTGTTGTTGCTGTTGGTAGTAAAGCTGAAGAAGAGAATTAGCGTTCATGTTGTTAGTCCCGTTTTGCGAATCATTCGAGTTCGAAACAGCGGCAGCAGCGGCTGCCGCCGCAGCGGTCAATGTTGATAGGAATAGTCGGGGGTCACTCGTATTCAAGTCAGCTAATGTGGTAGCAGGAGTTTGTCCAGGCACTGTGAGATGGGAAACAGTGCCTCCGATCAAGGGAACAGCCAACGTGGGAGAAAGGTTTATTGAGGGAGTAAGAGCTGAAATGGCCTGCAGGGATGAAACCAAAGAGAGAAGAACATTGATAATTCCGAGCTTCTGACGGGGGGGGGGACAGGAGATTTGAAACTTACAAATATTTGTTTATTGGTGAAATAAAAGCATTGAGTACTTGTGTTGGGCCCGTTGGAGCAGCTCACACGTGTCCGGTTATCTTATGCGGATCCAATTGGTAAATTTGTGAACTATCGTTTGATCCACGATTCTTGGAAATTTTCCATTTAGTTGAATTTACCGGCGGATGTGTTTTAATCTACATCGTCTGATTGTTAACAACAATAATTGACCCTTTTTTAGTCAGAAAATATTTTTATAATACCACACAGCTTCGCACTCTCATACAACGCAGACGGCTACGGTGGTGTGAGCCCAGAATTGTGGGTGCAAACTTGATCACGACCTGACCAGAGTGACTCTAGGACTATCTCTCTTCCTGAACCGGTATTGTCACCGTGGTGAACAGATGAAAATTTGGTTAGAATACTGTGCACGAATACTTTTATTCAGTCCGTATGCATCACCCGTTGCTAGAAGACTGACCGGATCGCACCACACAGGGATATTGCAGTTCTGGATACTCGCAGCACAGCAGACAGCTGACAGCAGCTGCAGACCAAAGCAATCAAATAGATAACGAAAGCCTATCTCGATTTGCTGAAGCCATTGTTGTTGAAAGATTGGTTTAAACTTGATTCCTGCTGTTATCGATGAGCCCCGATAGTCAGTGATGAACACAGGCAGGGTGCATTTACAGAGACAATCACATCGAAGCAGGACGCATACTTGAATTACAAGATTGCTTTCACTCCAATGTGTCCTACCTCAATGGAGACATCCTAGTTGCCCACTGTGCGTTCGTTTCATGATTGTTTATTCCTTAATTTTCGAAGACTGGTGCATTAGTTCATTGATCTTGTTTTCAATACCTCTGTCAACCGCGTAAAATAGTTTTGCCCTATGTGGAGAGTTTCAACTGCAAACGTTTGTGAAATGCACTTATTCAGGGACAACAAAAGCAAAAAAGGACTGAATACTTTGTTTTGGATAGTATGAAAAATAATTTGAAGATTTTTCCATAATAAAGCTTTGAGTTTCTATTTTATATAAGAAAAAATACAAAAATTGTATTTGAACCATCGTTTATTGGCCTCCAGTGAGACATTGAATATGTGGTGGTTGTCGCGTTCATTGAATCTCTTTGTGGACTTATACACAATTATCCGTAAATGCTTACACTTTCTTCCTTTCGTCCCAGGGTTCAACTGTTCTATCACAAAGCACAACCCGCTTCGACGTATCTTCAGATCAGTGCCCGACGCCTCTCATGTGACAGTTAGTTTTATTGCATCGAGATAACCCCATCCGCCTTCCAGTTCGTCAGATACACCTTTGAACAATCTCCGAACGCGGTCCTGTCGTCTTAACTGATGCTTGATACTTCTTGTACTCGTAATTCTACAAATATTATCATTGAAGTGTACTTTGACGTGTTACCTCATCCCATTTAAATTCATCTTTACTTTTGGCTGGACCAATTATTGTTCGACGCGTAATCCACATGGATTTAAACGGTGGCTCCAAAGGTCTTCTAACAACTCGAAGTGATGCGAAACGGAGTAGCAAATCATTTAGTTTGATCACATCTGAAAATCTAGTGTGTATGCAATGGGGAAGATTTACACTGAAAAGCCGTGTAATACATTCTGGTCTTGTCTGAATTTAACAACAGTACAACTTCATTCAACAATACCGAGATCTAAACGCTCGAGTCAAGTCAAGTCAAGGGATCGCTCTATACATTTTGAGTGATGGATATTCAGCAACCACATAACCGCAGTTTGTCAACAATAAAATAAAATCGGAATGTAATACAGTGTTTAAAAGAAGTGAAACTCATATCAATATCAAAAACCAGGGTGTTTATGATTCGTTTAGTTTAACATTTTGCGCCGATTTTCTGCAACGAGTTAATGGTTTTTAAGACGTATGGCGAGATACGGTACAATAAAGC